CCTTACCATCACGGTAAACCAAATCTAGAGATGGTTCAAGAGCACAAACACCGGTTTCTTGAGTTTTTCCTAGAGAAGTCAGGTACCACCCTCCAAGAATTGCTCCACCTTGTGTCAGAAATGGAGGAAGCTATAAGGGCTTCGTATTCCGAGAATGTTGATCGTTTCGATTCGCAAGATCTCGTGGACATGATGCTTGCTTCATCCTTACCGCTCTCCTTGTAGTTTCTAACAAACTCGACCACCCTTACTCCGACAATCCTGTTTTCAAGATACCATGGATCTTCCCGGCTATTCGGAGTGATCTTCTGCTTCTGGAGAACCAGGTTCCCTTTTTCCTTCTCGATGCTCTGTTTGCGGCATCAAAGACACGTTTTCATATTGGTATAAACAAAATGGCGTTCGAGTTTTTTGGCTATTCTATTCAAAGACCAAAAAGAGTTTGGGCAGTTCATTATCATGTCAAGGCAAAACATCTTGTCGATCTTATTCGTAAGACTTTCATTCCCACTTTCTCTCACGAAACGTCAAAACAAAGTTGCCTCCCAATTACTACATGTTGCCGAGACGACTCCGGAACAACGAGATCATTTGCTATTGGATTGATCCTCTCTGCCAAGAAACTCCGTCTTCAAGGAATAATATTCAAGTCGCATAAGAAGGCAGAGACACATTTTTGGCCGTAAGATTGGAGAACGAACGGTAAGCTTTTTATGCCGACGCTAGTCTTGGATGACTTTATAAGCTTGGTCTTCTTGAATTGTGTTGCATTTGAACAGCTATATACTTGTTGTTCAAACCACATGACTAGCTACGTAGCTTTTATGGGTTGCCTTATGAACGATGAAGCGGATGCGATGTTCCCAGGAGAGAAAGGAATCATAGAAAACTATTTCGGAACAGGTAAGGAAGTCTCTCAATTCTCCAAAGGGATCTGTAAAGGGATCGTATTCAACCCGACTGAGAGTTATCTCGCCAATGTGTTTGAGGGTGTTAACAAGTATACTTCAAAAGGTTATCATGTACAATGGGCAGGTTTCAGGTACACCCACTTTGATTCTCCTTGGACTTGTTTATCATCTTCTGCTGCTTTTACGCTTATCGTACTTGCAATAATCCAGATTTTCTTCACATCCTATGCTTATTTCCACCCTCCACAAAGCAAGTAAGAGAATCAAGGCTATTTGTTTCAAAACTCAGTTATTGTAATATAAGTTTTGCTACTTGTTTTCCAATTAGATTGTTTTTTGTCTTGGTTCTCAAGACTCTATTTCGTAATTAGGTTGGATATAGACTATGGGGCTGATTGGCTGAAAGACTTTAAAAACTGTAAGGACTGTTAACGTGTTTTACAGTTTCAACAGCCCAATCAGACTTTGAAGGCTATATTTGATTTTAAAGTCACTAAAGTCCCCTTTTTTTGTTTCGTCTTATTTCCATCATTTTTTAAAAAGTCAGATAAAAGTGGCTGTTACTTGGGCTGTAGAAAATAGTTAGGGGGTGATTAGTTTGGACTTTTATTTGTGGCTGTCACTTTAAAATAAAACTGTAAGAAAAATGGCTGTGACTTTTTTTTTTAAAATATGGCTATGACTTTAAAAAAAAATAAAAGTCATCAATTGTTGGCTTTTAAAAAAATCATGAATCGTAGAACAAAAATACAAAATCTAGACTCTGAGAAATTTAAGGAACTTTGAGTGATTATAGGAGAGTTAAAGTATGATTGGAATAATTTGACTTTAATTTGTTTTTTTTTAAGTCACGGTTCTAAAAGTGCTCTCCAATCACCCCATTAATCTTTTTTTTTACACTCTAAACAACTAAATTATTTCCAGAATAAAGAACTATTTTTAAAACAATCAAACCATTAAATAAAAAACAAAAAATCAGTATAAAAGATCTTGTTTTCAAATGTTTTTAATGCATAAAATATATAAAAATTAAATAAATATAACAAAAACCGTATTTATTAAACCATATTTATAAATACAAAGTAAATTTACCCTATGCTCTAAGAAATTACCCCAAAAATAATTTACCGTATGCTATTTTCAGTTTATTTTTTTTTTATCTTAAATAAAATAGCTATTTGTTCGAGTTTCGTCTCTCTATCATTACCGAATACAAATTTT